CATCTCATTTTCCCAGAGAATGGAGTTGAGTCCCGGCGGCTCTCTTTCTGTCTCAGTGATTGCCTAGTCGCTCTGGCAGGATCAATAAACCACAGGGCCAGATCCCACATTTTGATATCTTGACTCCTATTTCCATGAGCGTGTGTTTGTGAATCCAAGCAAGATAGTTGACCAAAATAGAGTGTTAAAAGTGTTTGTGGCCTGTGATCCAAGTGAGCTGTACTTTTTGAAAGTAAGAGGAAGAAGGATCTAGAAGTGGTTAAAAGAACACATGGGCCTCCTCTCACAGACCCTGTAATATGGGTAGAGAAAACCAGCCACCAGTGAAATCGCTGATGGAAAGCAACAGCCGAGAGGTTCAGACAGAATGGATGGAAGGATTTGGTTGGAGTCCTGTAAATGAGTGGATGCCAATGAAGAACATAATTTAGTTTATGAAGTGCGACCTAGGGAATTTGAAATTCTGTTGGAGAAAAGAGTGATATGATGGAATGTTTCCAACAAAAAAGTTAATAATAATAAATCCTTGTTAAATATAGTGTCGCATTCTTCTGACCATAGCACATTCGAAGCATTTTTCTTCTGTCACTCAGCCTATCCCATCCTCTCAAATACCATCCTTTTCTTCAATTTGTACCTGAATACAGAGAGGTTAAAGCGTGCAGGTGAGCAAGAAAGCTGTATCTTGGCCTCCTGCTTACAGAGCACATGCTTCTAAGTGCTTAATTGCTTGAGCATTTTCTGATGTTGAGTTGAGAGAGGTGGTGGATGATAATGGGAAGGTGGTTGTAAGAAGTGTTGGGACAAGAAGAAAGCAAAAGGAAATAGAGGAAATAACTAGGAGGCAAAGGGCATATATAGAGGTCTAAAAATGCATGTACATATGTAAAAATATTTATATATGAGGATACAGAAATAGATCTATGTGCATATATTTATAGGTTTAGTATTAAGGTAGCAGATGGACATTGGGCCTCCATTCAAGTACTCCCTCAATGCAAGACTATTTTGCTCTATTAAATTGGCATTCGAAAATGCTTACGTTCCTGACACGATCGCTAAAGACAAAGTGGGTGAATAAGCAAATGTGGTGAAGAAAGCTGATGGAGCCCAGCTATCAAAAGATATAGCACCTAGGATCTTAAGGACTTGAAGGTAAACTAATGGCCATCTAACGCAGAAGCAACAGAGCCCACATGGAAGAAGCACACCAGCCTGTGTGATCATGAGGTGCCGAAGGGATCAGGTATCAGGCATCAAAGAACAAAAAATCATATCACTGTGTGCTCACCTCCCCAATATGATCACTGAAGACAAATTGGTGCATAAGCAAATGTGGTGAAGAAAGCTGATGGTGCCTGGCTATCAAAAGATATAGCATCTGGGGTCTTAAATTCTTGAAGGTAAACAAGTGGTCATCTAGCTCAGAAGCAACAAAGCCCACATGGAAGAAGCACACCAGCCACTAGGTGTCGAAGGGATCAGGTATCAGGCATCAAAGAACAAAAAAATCAAATCATTGTTAATGAGGAGGCATGCAGATTGGGACCCAAGACCCATCTGTAGGCAACTGGACATCTCTTTACAGAAGGGTTTCAGGGTGGAGATGAACCAGTCAGAGTGCATTGTAGCAACGATGAACCATACAACTTCCCTCTAGTTCCTAAATGCTTCCTCCCTCTCCCACCCACCAACTATCATGATCCCAATTCTACCTTACAAATCTGGCTAGACCAGTGGATGTACACCGGTACAGATAGGAACTGGAAACACGGGGAATCCAGGACAGATGATCCCTTCAGGACTAGTGCTGAGCGTGGTGATGCTGGGAGGGTGGATGGAGGGTGGGGTGGAAAGGGGAAACCAATTACAAGGATCTACATATAACCTCCTCCCTGGGGGATGGACAACAGAAAAATGGGTGAAGGGAGACATCGGGCAGTGTAAGATATGACAAAATAATAAGAATTTATAAATTATCAAGGGTTCATGAGTGGGGAGGGAGGGGGAAAAATGAGGAGCTGATACCAAGGGCTCAAGTAGAAACCAAATACTTTGAGAATGATGATGGCAACAAATGTACAAATGTGCTTGACACAATGGATGTATGTATAGATTGTGATGAGTTGTATGAGCCCCCAATAAAATGACTTAAAAAAAAAGAACTGGTGTTTTTATTTTTTAAAAAACCCAGAGATCTGTGAACTGCTCTTAAATCCTATGCTGGGTGGCAAGAAGAGAGTGTTCTTATTGACAGAATATGGAATTCCAAAGCCTCCTCATTACAGAATTGTTGAAGTCTTGTGTTATCCCTTCATAGAGAACTAAGGACAAGGCCCCAGTCCTATTATCCTAGATCCTACCTAGTAAGAGTAAGTCTAGGAAGCCACTACTCATGATGGAATGTAATGCCTTGGGAAAAGTGTCATCTAAAAAGGACACTGGGGAGGATTGTTTCAATCTCAAGCATGAACTCCCATGAGGGAAACTTTGTCACACAAATACGTCAGGGAAGTTTAAATTAAAACTATTATTTCTGGGTCATAGTATGAAAAGGAGGCAGAGGATTCAATAAAAAGTAACTTTTCTTATGTAAATATATCTATAGTCTTAAAACCTCTATACATACCCTTTGTCCCCTAGTTCTTTCCTCTATTTCCCTTTACTTTCCTGTTGTCCCACTATCTTGCTCAGCCTTCATTTGGGTTTCAGTGATTCCTCTCAGTTACATTGCCCTTGCTTAATCCCTACCAGGCCTCTCACACCCTCCTTGCCACTGTTTCTGGATCACTTGTTGCTCCCCTGTCCCTAGTTTGGTCAGCACCATTCCCCTCTCCCTTGTCCCCCCAGAACCGTTGGTCCCATTGTTATATCTATGAGTGTGGGGAAACAGATCTATGTGCATATATTTATAGGTTTAGTATTAAGGCAGCAGATGGACATTGGGCCTCCACTCAAGCACTTACTCATTGCAAGAACATATTTTTCTATTAAATTGGCATTCCAGGATGCACACCGTCCTGACAGGATTGCTGAAGAAAAATGTGACATAAACAAAGGCAGTGAAGAAAGCTGATGGTGCCTGGCTACCAAAAGATATAGCATCTGGGGTCTTAAAGGCTTAAAGGCAAACAAGCGGCCATCTAGCTGAGAAGCATCAAAGCCCACATGGAAGAAGCACACCAGCCTGTCTGACCACGAGGTGTA